TTAAAATCTTAAGTGGCACTAAAGGTCATGTGAGCTTGTTTGAAAGGTCTTTTAATGCTCTAAACGAATCTGCAAAAAAAAAAATATATCCAGATTCAAATATGTTTCTAATTTGGAAAAGCTCATTTGATCAAGTGGAACAGTGATTGTAATTTAAAAAGCCCCTAGGGGTCGGTATTGAGAAGAAACATGCTAGCAGCCCAGCCTTTAAAATCTATATTTGAAATTTTATTACCTACTCCAAATACCTAATTTCCTTCCGTTCCCAAACGTGACTTTATTTTATGACATTCTCATCAGACCGTGTTGTTTAACAATAATATTATTATGGTTACTCATAAATCACTCGATTTTAATTATTAGGATGAAAAAATAAAAGCACGTGTGTGTTCCCCACATTTTAATGGCACCATAGAAATAAAGCTTGAGATTCGTTTCGATTTTATTGCGTCATGCTTATTTTCCCAAGCACTCGTGCGTTTTCCTTATTTCTTATGATTTCTGTCGAAGAGAACACCATTCAATGAAAGTTTGAGGTGGTCCAGGTTCCGGATGGCTCATCAGCTTTTCTTCGACCGAGGGTATCGCTTCTATTATGATTCTGTAAATTCGATTCGAATTATCTTTTTTTTAAATTTTTTATCCTCACTAACTTGGATTACAAAATGATAACGAACATCCTTCGTGCAAAGAACTCCTGAGTTAAAACTCAGATCTCCGGGAGGGGGATGTACAAGGGGAGTCTACCTCAATTTTGATAATTGAATTCTCTAACATCAGCGGGAGGTATTAACGCTGGTTAAGAATTAGGAAATAATTTATTTTAGAGATCACAAAAAAATACCAAATATAACTCAATGAAGTAGTAAGAAGGTTTGGAATGGGCTTTGCGTCACTCAAATGATTCCAGCATGAGATAGCGCTAGTAATTTCAGAAAATCTATTGATCTCCCGGATGTCTCACTCTTACCTTGAGTGAGATAGCGCTAGTAAGGGCAGAAAATATCACGGATCTCTACCGTTCTCTCACTCTAATGTTGGCCGCAAGCCCGCAAATATACGTATTGAATAGATAGACAAGGGGCCATTCCAAAGCTTTCCACTACTTCATTAATATAACCACATACAACAAAAAAAAAACTTAACTAAAGAGGATTCTGTCTGATACCTAAACTTAAGTATGAATAACAAAATTGAGATTTAGGGTCTGTTTTCACAGAAATCATAGAGCCAGTCAGAGCGTTTCTGGTTGGTTCAAATCGCCAATAACCAGTTTTCTGTTTTCTGTGTAAGAACTCCGAAGGTAAAATATTCTCCCATTAGGATCTCCGGGAGGATGGGGGAAGAGGATGGTCATCATCAAGTTTAATAATTGCATCCTCTAATATCAGAGGTATTAATGCCAACTTGAACTCAGTGCACCAATATCATGAGCACAAAAATCCACATCTGGTCTTAATGGAGATACAAGTAAAATCTCAAAACTCAAAAACTCAAAATGGCCTAAGAATCCATGCTGAAAGGATTGCTGAAGCAGTTGTCATTTCACACGGCCAAACGCAGTTGGTAGAAGAAAAAGAGCCCACACGTATTCCCGATTCCGTTTCTCAACATGCCAATTTACTGGATTTGTGCGTCACCACTTATCCCGATCCTTTCAAAATTGATGTGTTTGCACCTTTCCACCTTTTGGGAATTCAGTCACTTTCCAGTGACGCACTTTAAGAACTCCTGACCTGCTCTAGAACGCGCCCGCCTGTTTATAGGCGTTCCAGTGCATTAGAGTTTCGCGCAACTGAACTGTTCGTTTTTCCTCTCCCCTGACCTCTCAAGCACCTGAAATTTTGTGGGTGCATCAAAAACACTACGCCTGTCAGTCCACACAAACCTAATATCCTGATTTGTGATCATTTAATGTTGCCAGCTTCAGAGGCGCCGACTTTTGAAATTCTCCATGGGTGCAGGAGAATAACTCTATAAATTTGTTAATAGAGGTAGGGGCAAACTGTGCCGCCGGAGACGAATTTTTTTTTTCCACGAGCGTGCGAAAAGTTCTTTTTTCTGCACGCATTTTGGGCAATGGAAATATAACTTTTCCTCACTAGTGCAGAAAAATAACATAATTATGCAATGTTAAGTCACCCTGGCATTTTCACAAAACTGATTAACCCCCACAACAATAAACAAACTAAAAACTTACAGACTTTCGAACGTGCTCTTTTCGCGCTGCCACTTATTTATTACATGTGTATTCAACATTAGAGTGAATGCAGTAACTTAACATATCTGTGCTTCCTTGTCTCGAAATATTCGGGGAACCCCAGAATCGGACGAGAACAAAAAGTAGGTAGAAAACGGTTAAATTCATGGTCAAATACATTGTTCATACTACAAAGATACTCAAAAGTTCACACTACAGAGTACTACTATAGTAAAGTAAAATCGCGATAGTGTGAACACACGGTTCTGTGAACCTCCCAGTAGTATGAAGAGCCAGAATGAATACATAATATATTCTGTAGTGTGAACTTTTAAGAATCTTGGTAGTATGAACAATGTATTTGACCACGAATGTAACCGCTTTCTGCAAAATTGTTGTTTTCATCGGATGTTTCCGTCCGATTCTGGGGTTCCCCGAATAAACGCACAGATATGTTAAGTTACTGCATTCACTCTAATGTGGAATACACATGTAATAAACAAGTGGCAACGCGTCAAGAGCACGTTAAAAAGTCTGTAAGTTCGTTGTTGTTGTGGTCAATCAGTTTTGTAAAAATGGAGACAAACAATAGTTATTTATGCACCTAGGTCAAAAAGTACAGCTTTAACGCCCGCAGCGTGTGTAACAGCCTGAGGCGTTAGCCGAGGGCTGTTTACACGCTCAGGGCGTTAAAGCTCTTTTTGACCGAGGTGCATACAAGATTTTATGCACGATGAGCATGTTTTCATTTTGATATTTGAAAAATTATATATTTTTAAATTTTGTAATGACATCAATCAAAAATATTTCAAAATATAAATAGGTCATAAGTTTTTGTCAAATTTAGATCAAGAAAGCAGTTGTTGACCAAAGTATCACGTAACTATTATAGCAACCCAGAACAATACAAACAAATAATTATTTTACTCTGTGTAGTGTATCACTGTATAGTTTTCTAATGATGTGTAGTCCTGGCGTCTGAAAATGGCGCAAAATAGCCTCCCCAAGTTTATTCTTGAGGCAGTTGAAGAAGCCAAGGAAGAAATATTACCTTCAAAGTCCAAAAAACTCTATGAAAAAACATATAAGGACTTTATTTCCTGGTGTGCCCAACATGGTGTCAATGAGCAGCAGTACTTTGTAGAAGAAACTGTCCTGACATACATTAATGAAAAATGCAGTAAAAAATAAGCATAAGCCATCCACCATATGGAGCTGTTACTCAATGCTGAAGGCAATTTCAATTTGAAAATAGATTGAATTTTATTATTATTGCTTATTCCATTATTCTTATTAATTGAAATAAAGCTTGTTTTGTTGAACAAAGTTGGTATTTTTTGGACTAAGCAATAGAAATGCAAAAGTTTAAAAAATTGAGTCGAATTCTTGCTTATTTCTGAAATTTTAGAACTTTCAGGCCCGCGGGCATAAAAGACGCCCTAGGGCGTAAAAGTACTACTTCACGCTCCAAAATGCGGGCGTAAAAGTGCACTTTTACGCCCGTTCGTGCATAAAATTATTTTTCAACTCCCTATGGGTCCTTCCTCAGAAGAGTCTCTAACAATTTGCAAACTGTCAGAATGCTTCGCCCAGGCATGTTTTTAATGCAGTCGTTCCAAAATAAATCCAGCAACTCAGCTTAGCAATTGATACTGACAGTTTGCAAACTGTCAGGGACTTTTGTGAGAACAGACCTTATGAGAAGTGAAAAATTCTAGAAGATTGCCAGCAAGGTAAGAGCATATTGGCGTTAATGACACAGAAAGCCTAAGAAGTAAGTAGCCATCCAGTGGTCAGCCAGAACCATTCAGACAAAAATTACATCTCACTTTCATCAATAAACTGGGAAAATGTACTTAATGAATATGTTTGCATTGAATTTTTTGCATGAATTTTAAGTTGAGAGACCATTGCTGACAGTATTTTGCATTTTTAGGTAGACCTTCGATGGTGTGAACGTTTCGATAATATAAACATATCCGGTTTTTTTGTGTTCACACTAGCGCGAGCCTACTGTATTCATTCTTGCTGTTTATACTACTAGAAGGTTCACAGAGCCGTGTGTTCACATTAACACGTGTATACTGTATTCATTCTGGCTGTTCATACTACTGGAAGGTTCACAGAGCCATGTGTTCACATTAGCGCGAGAGTACTGTATTTTTATATTTACAAAACATCTATACATACATATATCATTGCCATCCCTACCCACGCGCAAAACTAAATTATATGGCTTACGGCGTAAGCGCCAGACTTCCCGTTGTGTGCCAGACTGTCTCAATTATTATCAAAGAATAGAGATGAAGAATAGCAGCATAAAATAATAGAGCATAGAACTGACCACAAATTACGTAAGGACAGGATACCAAGACCACTTGTATAATTCTTGTACAAAGTTATGTAAATTAAAATTACATGATACTGATACTGGAACGGAATGACCATTAAACACGTTTGTACTTCCGCATTCCCCCCAAGTTGCTCATGGGTGCACCTGCCCCAATGCCCCCATGTAGTGGGCGCCAGTAGCCAGCTTGTGCGCCAATAAATAAAACCTATATTTTGTGTGTTCTATTTTTGGACGTTAAGAAGGTTTTGATGTAAAGGAGGACAAACTGCCTTCTCTGATGTAGCCGCAAAGGACGAACGATTTTTTTGATCCAAAGGAGGACGTTCCTCCTGGCTGGAGGACGGTTGGCAACCCTACTTCAGCCCCTTCTCCAAAACCTCGTAAAAGGTGGAATTATGGAGCTACAGAATGGGAAGGCCTTGAACTTTTTTGTAAATTATAGACTGCTTGAAAATAAAAACTTTTATTATACTAAACGCTTTTTTTTTTAGGATTTTATGACAAAAGCAAACGATTCCGAAGTCCACTTGGGTTGAAAATTTGCCGATTTTTTTTAAGAACTATTGATTAACTGGTAGAAAAAATATTTAGATTGAATGCGGATTTGCTCTAGCGCATGCGATATGTCTCTATGCTGTCTCCTGTTTGCATGCCGACGGAGATTGGCGTGTCCGTATCTTCGAGGCAGTTGCCTTTAAAATAGAAACGTACACGTCGAATATCAATGCCCTGGAAGAAAAAATAGGCATGAAATCTGTCAATAACAAAGAAATATCATTATAAAGAAAGAAGCAATTGGATTCTTGACAACCAATCTAGAAGAAGCATTGAAACGCATAATTTTGTTGAATTATTCATAACAAAAACACATATGCTGAAGTTACAGGCGGATTGATACCTACAACAATCATCAATAATTGAGTAATTTGTTTACTTTGAGCACGAAATCAGCAATTTCGCTTCTGGTAATTAGAGCACGCACAGCAAAAAAAAATTAACATCCTCCAAGCAAATGACGCCTAGTAAAAAGTAGACAAACTTACCATTCTTTCACAGTATGCCATCATGAGCCTCTTGAAGGGCAGGTTCCTTTTGAACCGGAACCCCATGATCGTACCATCATAGCCCCGAACCTTCAAAATCATGTGCTGGTTTTCGTTTGGCTGCAACAACCCAATAAACTCTCGATAAAAGGAAAATCATCATTGAAAATGATCCGGTTTATTAGACGGGAAATAGTTTTCGAAAACTTACCTTCATATTTTCACTCATTATGTTAATAACTTGCCAGAATATCGCAAGGGCGGTTTCTCAAAACAAACACGCAAAGTTTTCCTTGCTTTTTATTTAAATTTAAATTGACTTGACGGGAGACGTGTAATGGAGATGGCTTTTAATGAAATTGACACTTGACACAAAGAGTTAAACAACAATGGCGACAAGAAACGAAACTAGCGACAATTAGGCTCTCCAAACCACGTGATTTTTCAATATGGCGTTTGTGAGAAAATTACGTTTTTTTGTTTATCTTGACTTTATTTTGAATATTTCCGAGCTAATTACAGTTTACTTTGTTATAATATACTGTTCGAGTTGCATAGTGAATATTTAAAGACTTTAATGCAGGAAAATAGGGATGTGGGCGAGCGGTAAGTTTCAAAAATGTCTAGTTGACATATGTTTACATTTTGACTAAAGTTTTTACAGCAATGAGCAAATAAAGGCCTACAAAAGCTCAGATTCCTACAAGTATTTCGAGTATGGCTTTATTTTAGATGCAGGGACCGTGATACTGAATAATTTTCACGTTTTAATTGGGAAAGTTTAAAACGATGGGCACTGAAAAAAACCTGACATCATCCTTGTTGAAACGACATCCACAGCTTTGTGACATTTTTAGCTGGAGAAAACACAATTGTCAATAAAATAAAAAAATAAATACAGTTCAGTCACAATTCATAAAACAACCACACAATGCACTTTAGGGCGTGTTTGGGCTGACGCTCGGCGGAGCGAGCAGAGCGATTACGGAGTAACGTGACGTCACAGGGAGTACACCGTGTCAAGCCAAATAAACTTGTGCAAAAATGCTGGGTTGAGCGATCAGCTGATTATTATTGTTTATTTTTCTTAACATATATTATTTTTTGGAGTCCGAGCCCGCATTCCGCATTTGCACCAGAGTTTTCTCGTTTGTTTTGCATTTGTCGATATAATTTTCAAACAGCCCCATTTTCTTTTGTATTCTACAAAAAATGTCGTGCTACATAAACAATGAAACGGACCTAAACACTCTGAGGCTGCCAAGTTCCCTTGAAAAAATATGTTCAATAATACCAGTGATGAGGACTATCGAGAAAATTTAATTAAAAGTAAACAATTATGCAGAATTTACTAGCTATTTGATTATTAACATTTAAACAAAATAGCTAAAACTCAGGATTGTTTATTTATCTTATCATGGAAAATAGGTTAGGTTATCAAGACAGATCAAACTGCACATGCACGCTCCAGCTGCCCACCCCACAAACTCGGAGTTTATCGAGCTCGCTCTGAGCGCTCAAAATATGTCAAACCAAACACAATCAAGCGTCGTCGGAGCTTCAAAAATAACGGAAGAGAGACAAAAGTGCATGCTCTGAGTGCACCGAACGTGAACCCAAACGCGCCCTTAGAAAGCTTTAAATTCTGTACTCTCATATACGGGATAATTAACTTTCGCCTACGACGCCATTTTGGAATAGTTTTGACAGGTCGTTGAAATGCCTCAAGGATAATACACACTACTAAGGATTGCTTATCGGCCTCGTTTTTGGTAATCGCCGCCATATTGGTGTATCACCATGACCGCCGTCATTATCTAAGTCGTCAGCTGTTTGCGCATTTAAATTTAACATAATAGGCAAATAGGAAGATGCAAACGGGATCTAAAAAATAGTTGTTTTGGAATGTTTATTAATGTAGTAAAACCAAGTATGCATAATGGAGAAGCCCGGCGGGATCATAACCTGTTACCCTGTGGTGCAAACAGCCTACGTCACGGCGAGAAAGGACATGCTGCTTACGTCACAACTGGTGATTTGGCGTGGTGGGAGGTTTCAGATTTGTTCTACATAGGCCCTATGAGGATAGGCTATCCTGTAGTAGTGGTGTATATTATTCTTGGATGTCATTATGCTTTATGGTGGAGTTTATAAAAAAAAATTAACACTTAAGAAATTTAATTTACGACTAATGACCGTTTGCACCGACCATTTTAAGGGAGGTTCAACGCTAATCAACGATTAAAGTTTTATTCATTGATTATCGTATCGTTAAACCCTCCTGAGTGTGGTGTTACTGTGTCACACATAGCGTTTTGACTGCTGCGGCAAAAACGCTCCGGTTTCCAGGATGGTGTAAAACCATTGTATTAGATGAGAAATGTCACATACAGCGTTGTGCCCTAACCGGATGCAACCGCATCATGCTGCGGCGGCACCGCACAACCGGACGACCGCAATAGAACGAAAACACGTGCAGTTGTATGTTTGTAGTCACACCTTATGGTTCGATCGCAGCGGTTCTTCAAAAATATTTGAGTTCGTGGCTTGTTGCTTGTTTTTTCATTAAATTTCATCATGTTTGACGTGGATCTATTCATTGAGTGCATCCACGGTAAACGAGCATTATGGGAGAAAAAGTCGAAAGAATACATAGTCGTACATGCAAATTTTGTCGTAGAACTTTGCAACCTGAAACGTGAAAAGGATTATTGGATTCACACGTTCGGACCTATTTTGGCTGTGTTCTTTTTTCAACTGTCAGTACTGTATTTACTGGGAAGCGTTCCAAAATTAAAATGCAATGTACTGATTTACTGAAAAAATGACGTATGGCGTCACCAATACGTCACTAATTTATTACTGTGCTTGCTGTATCCGGGAATAAACTACTGTAATTCAAAAGTGGTAGGGTGTTGATTGTTTTGATACGTTCAAGAACACTAAAAAATTACGTACTAGGTCACCCAATAGGTCAAATAATAGTACTGTGCTTGCTGTGTCTGGGAAGCTACTGTAATCCAGTAAAAGTGGTGGGGTGTCAATTGTTTTGTTTGGAGGAGAGGAAATTATGCAACAATTATAACTTTAACATTGAATGTTGTATTTTTTTGCACAAGGATAAAAACATTATAATTTATTAGGTGTTATTTGTTATTTTCATTACCTATTTAAGTTAAATGTTATTCGATTTCACATAAGTTGGTTTATTTCTTTTATTAAATATTGATATTATAACAACAAAACAAATAGCTATCACTTTATCTTGTGTTTTATTTCATACTGATTTGATAGTAGAGTCAAAGAGTGCTAGTAGAGTAGGCAACTTACTTAAACTTAATTTAAATTAATAGAGCCATAAAAGTAGACAGTTAAATAATAATTCTATTATTTGATATAGGTAGCAAATAAAAGTTAAGAAGGCAAATATCACTTTTTTGGCTATTTGCACAGCTATAACTTTTGTTCATTTCTACAAGAGTCACATTCAAAGCTCCAGACTAAAATATCCCTTAAGTTATAGCAGTTTTATCTTGTGATTTATTCCATATATTGCTTGTTAAGCTACATTCAGTAGGTAACTTAATTTAAATTATTTGAGCTATACTGGATATTTCTGGATAATGGGATCAAACTTCTAGGAGAAATAGTACCCATTAAAATAAATTAAAAATTAATTAAAGGGGGTGTGCGCCAAAAAAACAACTTCATCTCAAAAAAAAGAGAAAAAAAATCTAAGAATAACAGTGAAATCCGCACCCCTCTATGACAAATAATACCGCAGATATGGCTCTATGAAGGTACCGCATCTCACCCTATGACGTCACGAAAGCTCAAGCGACGCACGAGAAAGTGGATTTAATTAAATTTACATAATGTTTTTCCTGTGTTACCTGCAATAATCTAAACAAAAACTACTCACGCGTGCCGGGAACAATCAAATTAACAATGCAGAGCGCCGCTGGACGAAGTTTTCGTGACGTCACGAGAGCGTCGTCCACACTTTAAAGTGGTATATCTCAGCGATGGTTTATCGTAGAATAACGAGGTTTGAACAGTTATTCTTAGATTTTTTTACACTAAAACTTTAATTTTTGGCGCACACCCCCTTTAATAATTAGAAACATCAGCTGCTTTCGGGTGCCACCCTTTGAGCCCTCCCGAGTTACTCCGAAGTACCTACTCCGACTACAGTTTGACGCGTTCGCAAAACACATGGAGTAACGGGAGTGTTCAGAGCTTCGCTTCGCACTCTGTTATCTAAACACTCTGGGGGGCTTTATTTGAAATTGATGCAACTTTGAGTACGCGCAAATATGACGCGAATGACGTCAGTTGCGATTGAAAAAGTGCATGTCAAATAAGCTGTGCACCAATTATCAATCACGAATGACGTCATTGGCGTGTACGCAAAGATGCATCTTTTAAATAAAGCACCCCTGCACCCGAAAGCGGCTATGGGTACGCATATGCTTAGTTTTTGAGATAAGGGCTGTTAAAAGTTTTAAAAAAAAAGTTTTTCACTGAGGTTTATTAGCTGAAAAATCCCTTTCCAGATTTTCTTTAAACTTGGAAGGTTTGTTTGTAATAACAAAACAAAAGGTATCTTTGGTTATTTATTCCAGTGACCTTCAGAGGCCAGGGCAACTACGTTAATAAAAGCATTGTATTACTATAATAATTTACAGTAATAATAACCAACTATTAAATTATTTATGGAGAAAGCTTGAAAAAGAAAAACAAAAAATATAAAATCATCATGTTGTCAGCTTTGTCGCCGGTCAAATGTCAATAATTACTGGAATTCGTTCCAAAATCAACCAGTAATACAGCTGCTGGTTGAAAAAGAAACGAGAAATACAGTAAAAACAGCACAGTAGAAATTCAGTACTGCCAGTTAAAAAAAGAACACAGCCTTTGATTTGATAAACACAATAGTTCTTTTCACGTGGCTCCGGTTTAACTAACCGGGTTACAAAACGGTTAGAGAAATGACATACCGTTTTCTAACCCGGGTGCAAAATGACGTGATGGATACCTACCACTCGAATTTGAGCGGTATGTTGCGGTTTGTTAAACCTGAGCCACGTGAAAAGGGTTAATGCGCGTGCAATAAACACAGCAGCAAAAAGCCTTCAAAAAGCAACTTCTGTGATATATTCGAGTAAGTGACCTTCAACGTTCAACTTTGGTTAGACAGAGTTTATACAATAATATTTCTGTTCGGATTAGGATGAAAAAAAGAAGGATACCTTAGATAGGTACCTAAATAAAATGCAGGCGTTCCAGTATTTTCTATGTAGACTAAGCAGACTAAGCTTATAAAATAATTATTGTTGAATGAATGAATGAATCATTATTATTTAATTTTGATTAATGTTTTTCGTTGTTGGAAAGAAAAAGTATCATCAGTGGGGTCTGCTTTGGCCGCCCCTATTTTTTGCCGCCCGTGTGCGGTGCACACTTTGCACACATGGTAGCGGCGGCCCTGTAATTTGATGTTATTACCTACTAAATTTGAACGGTAATGCGGCGATCGCGATCGACCCTATCCGGTCCTTCGATCCACCAACGAATGGTGCTGTGAGCCATTGTGCCACCACAAGGTCAGTGCATAAGTGAGACAGAATACCAAATCCATTAAATTAGCATTAGCAATATAACAAAATAGTTTGACTAAATATTTTTTCTGTGAATCCGTGAATCGGTGTTGCTGATATTATACTATACAGTGGTTGATAAGCTGGGTTAGCTAGGTAAGTGATTTAAGCCCGGTTTAGCCAGCTAATTGTCTATAATGCACTGTTCTACTTTTTTAAAGGTTCCAATGAGTCACAATAACAGGCCCTCAGGCCACTGACGCCAACTACATGGGGGCATTTGGGCACGTGCTCCCATGATCAACCTCTGATGGGTGCTCGGAGCTCTCGTGGGGAATGCGGAAGTTATATATATTTAATGATCATTCCGTTCCGTGTGGTAGTATCAGTATCACGTAATTCAAATTTACACAACTTTGTATAAGAAATATGGTATTAGTTTTAGATTAGGGAGGTATTAGTATTCCGTCCTTTCGTTATTTGTGGTCAATTCTATGCTCTATTATTTTATATTGCTAGTGTTGCTATTCTCCATCTCTATTCTTTGATAATAATCGGGACATGAAGCATTTTAGGACATAAAAGTACCAGGGTAACCTTACATTGCATAATTATTTCAGTGATTCTTTCATGGCCTAAAATCCGTGCAGAAAAAAGCACTTTTTGCACGCTCGTAGAAAAAAATGGAAAAATATATACACTATAAAATAGACGTTTTTAGGTGTGGAATCCGGAAAAAAATTGCTCCTCTGCCGGCGCCTTCGGCGAGCTTCCCCTCCCCCCCCCAGGTCAGATGGATAGTTACGCCAGTGTCCACCTCCTTGCCTGATAAACCACTCCGCTTCTAGAGCACACACAATCTTTGATGAATTCGCAATGATACCACCACTACCAAAATTCGACTGGCGAAACATCTCGATAAAACGGATCCCGATGGGATGAACTCTACTTGTCAGGGCTGCGTTCAGATTGAACGTCGAGTGTCGCCCGAGCGCGCTCTGGCCGTTCAGATTGCTTTGGGTAAAATTTACCCAGCCGTTCAGATTGTCAGTAGATTTTTACCGGACGACACCCCGACGCACACTTTTGCATCCCATAAAATAGTAAGATAAAATTTGCCCCGCATGCGCGTAAAAAAGGTGGCGTCTTCCTTTTTTTTTGTTCAGCTTGTGCTGCTAAATTGATAGCAATCACTGACAACTAGCACATCGCACATCCTCGTCATCCGAAGATGAAGCGTCCTCATCATTCAATAATTCTTTAAATATGAAGGAAGATGGTATGGCTTCTTCCATAGTTACTATTTATTTGAAAAATTATGAAGAAAACGGCAAAAATGTTAGAATCACGACTTTGAAAGGGCAAGAAAATCAAAGTATCCCATAAATAGTGAGGCTATAGGCTATGAGGAGAGAATGCGTCTTGGCCGTTCAGATTGGGCGAATCGCCGGGCACACTCGGAGTGCGCTCTCTATCGGGTACGTTCTGCACTGGACGTCGCCCGGACTCTTCAATCTGAACGCGCCCCAGAGTTCATCCGGTCAACGAGCCATTAGAGCTACGATAGCAGAGAGACTGGAAGCTGAATTATTGTCACATGTCGATGCAGCGAAATCTCTCAGGTATATTTAAAAAAACCATACAAACTCCAAACTCAAAATGTAAAATTTTTCATCTTCTGACAGGATTTTTGTATTATTAAACAATAAATTGAACAAAACACTGAAGAACCGAAACGCATGCGCGTTTAAATTTTCATTTGAGAATTATCAACAACTAAGAACTTAGAAGTTAAAAGTTGGCCAATTTTAATTTTTATTTCTTAATTGGGTTTTATGAACGGCAACATAACTTTCCATAACATAAACTAATTAATTTCTCAGTTAATTTTTTATTAAGTTGTTATTTTTTTTAATAAACTTACCATTACAATTATGTGACAAATCAGTCACGTATAATAATTATGATTGTAATCGTGGTGGTTGATATTTTCAGTGAAATTCAAATTGTTCCCTTCCATTTTCTATATCTAGTCATCTTCATAAAGCCTGAAATTTCCACTTTACAAATATGTCTAATTAGTGCAGACTTTAAAATTTTCTGCTAAACTTACTTTGGAAGGACATACCTTTATGGTCAATTTGTTAAAAGGTTGGTAAAAATAAAATCCAATTTCTCATAAACATTAATTCTGATTTATTATTTTCCATAATAATTCAACAATGCTGCAGTGGCATGACTAGAAATATGATATTTAAGAATGTATAAGTAACACTTATTTTACTGATAAAATATGCAATATTTTTCTAGGTATTTACAATAAGTAGGTGTAAGAATTATGCAATATAATTTTCAATACACAAAATTTAAACATTTTTGATTAAGTACCTACCGCTAAATATCTATTAAATAAGTACCTATTTGATATCCATAGCTAGAATTTCCAAAAACGATATGTTGATCCAAAATAAGCGAGAAGACATATCAATTAATTATTGGAAGAATATCACAGATTGCGTTGAAACTGCTATAACAGATGAAATAGTGTGGATAATAATTTATTTTAGAATGATAAGTAGGTTGGTTTATTTTATAGATGTATAAATAATAAGTATGTACCTATTTTCGAAAAAAAAATCTTAGCAAAGGAAACGTAAATTTAAGACAAAATAGGTAATTTTTCATTTTTGAGAGAAACAAATAGGAAAAATCACTCAAGAATTTCTGGAAACAAGCTTTTTAAATTTTCTAGATTTTTAATTTGGCTGCATTTTCTCTATTAGTTACTTTAATTACCTGCTTAGGTATTGGCTTTTTTGCTCTATCAACCTATGAGTTATGTGAATAATTGTAACAATCATAATCATAGAAAAATATAAATTTTAATATGGGTACATCGAGACCCGTAATAAATAAATAAACTTAAATAGGATTCTTTGGCATGTAAAATTCAAGATTTAAGGCACTAAGGAAATTTTACAATACTGAAATTGTATGTAGCGATGCAATTATTCAGTCAAGTTCATCGTACAAAATTCGTACAAATTTCTACTCTGATCAATTGATGAACTAGCTAAAGTGGGGCCTCTTAAGCTGGCATCCCACGACGCGTGACTGGCCGAGTCAAAGGAACGCGAGCTCTGTTTTGCCTCGTACGCTTTCAACGACGATTGCAACGATCCACAGGTCGTGGAAACGTATCCACTTGCCAAGTCGATTCTAGACGAGCCACGACAAGCACAAGCCAGGCTCATCGCCAAGTTATGCGCCGTGGGATGCCGGCTTTAGGCCCACTGAGCTTCGTTTTGGGGCTCTTATGAGGCCCCTTGACGTCCCTTCCGTTGCAGGATCTACACTGTACATCTACTGGCTATACATACTATAGTGGAATATAGACACAAATACCCTCCTTCGAAACTTTAACTTTGTTATAGCTTCAGATGTGACTGATAAAATTTATCATACCGAAGACAAACTTGACCGACAATATGTACCTATACAAATAAGTAAAGTATTTGGGAACTAATAACAAGAAGATCTATCAGATTATGCACCTATAACAAAAATAAACTATACTTTGAATTAATAACTAACAAATTTCAGTACTTATCAGAGTAGCACTATCGCCTAATTATTTTCTAATAATTGAAATTATTGTCAACTTTGCCATTGTAGTTGCAGGGATATCTCAATTCCATCGTGTAGCCTGCGGTTGTGTTTATTTTAGCAACAATCATTAAGTAATTGACGTTGTTAAGGAAAAACCATTGAAAAATGATATGAAATATTTATTGCCAACAATATGATTTCGTATACTTAGTTCAAAAGCAAGTCTCATAGAATTCAGGTAACCTGGCAATAACATTGTGAATGAAAATTAACTTCTAAATTTATCCTATCTATCGAAATATACATTGTAGAGGCGTTTACTTTCCAATAAATAGCCTGGTCGGTTCCATAATCTTAACCCTTATTATCACACTCACTTTTAAGAGAACCTTTCTCGCAGGTTCAAATAATTTTAACCCTAAACCCTACCTACAGTAACAATATTTTTTCAGATACCCATCCGACACACATTGACTATGATAATTATAATAATCCAACCTACTGACGTCGCCAGCCTCCAATGTACTATTGCTAATATCACCAACAAAACTAATGGTAGTTTCAAAAACTGCCTTCGGATGGGTTTTCAAAAGAACCAAAGCGTACGAAATATTTTTGTAAGAGAACTTTTTCCCTAGTCTTATGCTAATTTCGGTGGCTTTATATTTGGCACATATGTTTTTATTTTTAATTTTTTTATTAATTATACCATCTATTAAATCTATAACAAAATTTGATATTTTCTGTTCCACTTTGGAATTTAATTTAGTTTCACTGTAACCTGCGCACGTGCACCAGTGATCTGTGATACCAGCTTCTTCACACGAACGTTCTTTGGAAATGTTTTCAAATAGTGAGACACATTTCGGACAGGCATCACTGGGTATAATTGAATAATTGAAGCCTGACATTTTTAATAAATGTTGTAAACTCATGTGGATATCATAGGGAGAAGTAAGTTTATTTACATTATTTAAAAAGTTTTTGTATTCCTCCGAGAATTTTTCTTTGAACCATGGGGGAAAGGAAAAATAAATGAAAGGCAAGCGCTCCTCTAACCAACCTGTTTCCGTCAAACGGATATCGCCGAAACGTATTCCATGGTCGCTGAGGAATATTATTATTGAACTGTTCGTCACTCCGCTGCTGTGAAGATTTTTTAGGAATACTAGGAGTTTATTGTCCATCATGGATGGGGCGCTGACTTCATTGTGACTGAAAATAAATACATTTTAATGTAATGTTCGAGCACTAATAGGCACTTATAATTTCTATTCCAGATTATGGTTGTTATGGTCAGGAATTCTTTAATTTCAGGGGCAGATGATATATTATTAGTAAGCTGTGATGCAGTTCTCTTTAACGGAATTGCCTCGGGAGTCCGGCCGGATTCTAAGAAGTAGTAGCTTAAATAAGTCAGTTTTAGTTCGATTTTTGTCGTGTATGTGCAAGGAGAATTTGGAAAAGTTCAAAACGATCGATCACAAATATGTAGTGTTCAATACAAACCTGAATGTGTTCATCCAAAAAAACCCGAAATTAGGATTGTTTTTGAACGTAACGGCGAAATCCTTGACGAGATTCAAAATCCGTTCTCCTGCAGTTTCTGGTCCAGTACAGTAAGCCATCGAGCTCACTATGATTTTTTTAAGCTTTTCGGTGGCCATTATGTAGGGGCGAAAATAGTAATCGGTGGGTTTGGTCAAAAAACCTAAAAAGAAAATAGACATTTATTTATTTTTATTGCCTGCAGCCTATATCAAAAGAAAAGTGGACATATTTTTCTCCAAAACACTGCAAAAAGCTGGTATTACAGATAATTCTTAAACTCTTGAGGTACCTACTCAATCTATCCCTTTTGTTTAATTTATGTTTGAGAGAGAAATTCTGTATTTATTGTTGATGAAATTTTAAACTATTGTGAATTCTATGTCAGGTTTGTTTGGACTTAGTTCAGAATCAGTTCTGAATTGAACTGCGGTTGCTCATTTGTTTATGTATGTTCGATATGAACAAATGCGCAAGCGCAGTTCAATTCAGAACTGATTCTAAACTAAGTCCGAACAAACCTATTGTACTGAATGACAATAAATTTCATAATACCTACCTAATAATAAAATATACATATGTATGGCAATATCATTAAAAGCATAACTGTAAAGTTTCAGAAATAACAAAAGTATGGCAGAGTCCTACAAAAAAGTATGTTTATATTATCAGCAGGCCTGCTTTCAGTCAGGGAGTACGTGTCAGGAATCACTTGAGTTCAAGATTATATTGGTTTGAAATAATTTGGTTTAAATTGTTGTAAATAATGTACTTAATCGAATCCAGAACAACACAATAATGCTATACGCAAAATGAATTTAATTGATGCTCTTGGACTAAATTTATTTCCAACCCTTATCTGTAGAGTTTTTGCTGCGGTTTTTGTTTATCAGGGCATCGCCGACAAAGAAATAATTTTTTGTAGGAATCTCGATTATCTGTTGTGGCCACTATAACCAAATGTGGCTTTTTAATTAAGTTTTGGTACTAAGCCTTTTCCACTCACCTTTTTTATTGTAATTGAATGTGCTTATGACGGCTTCGTCTTCTCCGTATCCAGTTACATAGCCCAAATCTCTATATGTGTACCATAACATCGAACAATTATCCAGAAGACCTACAGCTTTTGGATTACATATTTTGTAGGCTGTAGTTTGATTATATCCTCAAAAAAAATTCTTTTGTCTAAATATGTAAAGATAATTTTTATCGACAAAGCATTTAATCTATTTCCAATTCTATGAGGTTGTTACCTGTGAATATAGCCATTAAATTTGGAAACGTATTATCATCCATTTTATTATAGCCTTTTAATGGAATCCATCCATTATCCTCAACATAGCGATGAGTATTTGGTAACGCCCTGATAAAATTAAGCCTCGATATGCTGTCGATGCCAACAAAAAGGACGCTAATCGGTTTGGCGCTACTGTTATCGAATAAATGCATTTTCTTTTGGACGTTTTTCGTTGTTATTACGGAAGTGTGGACGTTTTCGTAAATTAGCTTTTGCGAATTTGGCTCGGTACATTTGATGAGAATCGCTTCCTGGGTTATGGTGACGTTCTCTTGGAATTCTTTACATAAACTCAAACTAATTTTCAATTATAATTTATTAAATGCGAAATTATTGTATCACCTACCTGATAGACCCATCGGGATTTCTGGTAGAATTACTTCGTTTCACATCAGAATAACAACAGGAGATCGGGGACTTAGTATACTGCGTTAAAACTTCGCTATCAATATGAACAACGGCAATATTGTCTTCTTTCGTCACATAAGTCAGGAGGTCGTTCTTAGAGCAGCTCCTATATTTCACCGGCTGAAAATACTTTTTGGCATCGCGAGAGAACGGATCGATGTCTATGATGTTGCATTTTCGACTTGATACCAGATAGGGCTGGTCCTCGTCTAAAATTAAAAAAAATACTTAGCAAAAATATTAGAATTTGGATCAAAGAAGGTATAAGAGTCAATATGTGCAACGTGACACTGCATAGTGCAGAGGAAATGGAAATGATAATGAGAAATGAAAACAAACTGGAACAACTTGTTTTTATTATCATTGGTCCTCTCACAAAAGACAAAGTCTATACTACCTAAGCGGTAGCATGAGCGGAAGAAATTAGGTGAGGTTACTCTTCCGTTTGAACAGGTTCAATAGTTCAGGAAATGAAGTAGGAGGCAGTACGACACCAAAAAGAAGTCCTATATTTAGAGGTCCTTGGGGTAGTCACCGCATACGGATGGGATGCTCGCGAGGTTCTTGCGGTTCTTAAATAACTTCTTCTTACTGGAATGAGGCTGCCAAATCGTCAGAACATATGGTAATAGCGATAAAATAAGTCGGCCACCTTGCGTCTATGTTATAAAAGATTGCAATCAATCAATGAGAGTTGAATTATCGATCATCTTTGTACTGCATCTAATAGAGCCAACGAATACTTGGGAGCATCGCTCCAGATGTGGCAACAGTATTCCATACATGGTCTGATTTGAACCTTAAAAAGGAGAAGAAATTGTTCAGAAGTAAAGAAATTTTTTGCAAGAAACATGAAACCTAATTATTGAGGAGCGGTTTTGGCAATCGAAGATACATGGTCATGCCAAGACAAGTTGGTCGATGCGGTCACCCCAAGATGAGATACTGAGGGATTCATAAAAAGATTTTGTCCCAACATCCCTAAAATCAGCGGAAGATTTCTTATTTGAGAATAATGTTGCTTGAGTTTTGGAAGAATTGAATTTGACTAGGTTGTTGAGGCCTCAGTTGGTAATGGTGTCATCGCTGTTGATAGAGTGAATCTGTTCTTGTGCGATGAATATGGAAGTGGATGCAGTAAGCGGTTTATCAGAAGAGAAAGATGCCATCAAGTTTCTATCGTCCGCGAAGCTGTATCAGAAGACAATACGATGGAAGGAGACCTTTGTGCCACACCTGATCAAAAGCCTTGGAGATGTCCAATGCTACAATTCTGGATTCGCCATGTTTTTGGAGAGTTCCAAATATGATTGACGTACACCAGCAGATCCCCTGTTGATCTTTTAGAACGGAACCCGTACTGTTTCTCAGGGATGAGCTTATTGGCTTCGAGGTATTTGACCAGTTTGAGGTTGACTGCCTTTTCCATTACCTTCGAAAGTACGAATATGAGTGAGATGGGACAATAATTTCTAGAAAGAGTTTTCTTGCCCTTTTTCGGGATGGGCTGCACTTTGGCACATTTCCAAAGAGACGGGAAAACGCCTCGACTATAAGGGTGTGAAAATAGTTTGCAAAAAAACTGAAGCCAATTTTTGGGCGCAAGTTTCGAGGACAATTGGTAGAATGCTGTGTCAAGTTGCAGAAGAATTTTCCTAACAGTTTTGGGTCTATGAAAAATGACGAAGAAAGAAACCGAAGCCCTGAGAATAATAAAGCAAGTAGGTAGCTGACGCGGAAAGTAGAAAACGAAATAGATATTGAAAACAAATAACGTAAAACGCTGGAAACGGGATAAGGAACATGACAAATTGAATAAAATTACTACAGGCGAAAATGAGCATCGTCCGAAAGGCGGATAAGAAAGCTCCATGAACGAATACCAGAGACGAAACAAGCAAATCTCTTGAAAATAATACTTGAAACAATTCAAACAAACAAAGAAACGACACAACAAAAAATAATAAAGGAAATAGAAGAGTGCCCACTATTAAAAAACGTGCAAAAAAAGAAAGAGAAGCGATATTGAAAAAATAGATATTATAACATCACGAAATCTGGAGAATGAGTTAGGTACTAAAGGAAGAAAAAATTAAATACGTGCTTGTAAAAGAGAAAGATGGTTCAAATGGCTAGTTCTTACCTTCGGTGTGATTATTAGCAGATGAAACATTTTCCTTGTTATCACTATTCGAATTGAGTAATATTTGATAAGTCAGTAGCTTGGTGTAATCGTAATAAGAAATGGTTAGGAGGATACTTCCGGAGATAAACATAACTAGAATAACTTTTTTCCATGTACCGCTTGAGATAATTTCATACATTTTCAAACCTGAAAAAAAATACAACAATTGAAATATAAAATAAATACTCCCGGATAGCTTAGAAATTAAAATTTAATAATCATGGTTAATGAACATAGATCTAGAACTAGAACATTAATTTTAGATAATGTTTATATGCAATGTATAAAAGTTTGATAAAAATTCAACAAATTCCAAGTCTCGAGTGGGTAGTTAAAATGGAATTAAATCGAATGATTGGTGATAAATTTAAAATCAATTTCATTTCTATAAGAGACGTGAGTTATAAATCAATAACTTCAAATTGATTTTCCAAAAACTAATCAAATTTTATTGAGATTGAAATCTATTTTTGTTCTGCATTTAACAATGCAAGTTTCAGGAGCATTAAAAAGGGAACATAAAAGGCGAGCGCAATATAGGTAGGTTAATTAAAATTATACAAGTAGAGTTCAACATAACTTTGGCGTCTGTGAATGTTTTTTTCGTCTAGGTCGGAATAGTTTCTGGTAGGTAGATGTAATTGTTTATTTTATTTACCACCTACCAAGAAGAGTTAGTATTGTGATTTTAGCACTGGAAGATCACTCATAACTATGTTCAACTATGCAATTGTGGTGAAGTATTTTGGAAATTTGCAGAGGGCGCCACCAGATTGTGATTTTGAAAGACATCCAATCCAAATTATTTATGACCGATTTTAAAAGAAATGGTAGCAAAATTAGAAATCTGAAAAGTAAAGTCAACTGACTATAAACTTTCCCAAACAAAACACAATACATAAACAAAAAGGTACTTACTTGAAACAATGATTCAATTACTTTAAAACTAGAATTAGGTATATTTGCAAAAATTACAAGGAGTTAATTTATCTGTTTTACTGGATAAATAAATACACAAATAAATAAAATAGGATTAAGTTTATGGATTTTTAAAGCAGTAAAATTTTATTGAAATCGATCTATGGTTTGTAATTATTTTAAATTTGCAGTAAAGGGGAAATGAGCTCGTTAGCATTGCTCGACGTAAAATAATTAAAAATACCTTTAATTAAGATAAACAAATATCGCGATAGTGGTGTAGCAATTTTACATTGAAATGGTTTATGAGTTTGTAAATTAAAAAAGTAAAATGGTAAAATTTAAAACAATTCGAATTTTGTATCCCATCCCTTATGTATGGGTACTACGAACAGTGCCTGATGAAAAGGACAGTGTTACGAATTTAAATATTTTTTAGGTTATTTGAATTATTGTTATTTAATTTTCTTTGTAAAATCACACTGTATCTCCTAAATGCTAATGTTTGGTAAATAACCGGTGTTGAGTCCATTATTGAGATGAGAGGTGTCAAAAAGGAGAAATTAGTAGTCAAAACCGATTGAAAAAGTTGAAAACGAGAATCCTGTTCGACTAGAAGGAAATCGAATTTGAGTTCTTTCAACCATTTTATCCTGCTACAATTTAATAAGAAATACGAAGATACAGTGTGATCCAGAATTCGTGTATCAGCGAATAAATGAAAATTTTGCAAGTATTGTAAGTTCTTTCTTTGCTAATAGCTAAATTTATTCTCAACAGACAGGTTGATTACTTCCAATAAAACACCACAAGGGCCTGGTTCGGAAGTTCCCTCAAGATTTTTGTGGATATACCATATGAACTGGAAACCAAGTGGACATATGGCAATCACCAAAATAATCACAAACCCGATTTTAACCATGAAAAGTGACTAAGTATATGATGCCGAAAAAATCCCTCGAAAGACCCTTCGCCATCGAGATTGTTCCAGTAGGAAACACCGGGGTAACACCCAAACAAGAAATTGTCTGGTTTACTGACGGCTCCAAGACAGGAACTGGAACTGGCGCTGAAATATATGGACAAACACCCAGATGCGTCAACCTCTGGGAGAATACACCACTGTATTCTAAGCAGAAATATATGCCATCGACTCCTGTCTCAGAGAAAACCTAGGGATGGAATACACAGGTGAAAACATGCTTATTTGCTCAGACAGTCAAGCGTCGATTAAAGCACTTAACAGTTGCGAAATAAAATCCAAACTTGTCTGGGAAGACTTGGAAAACCTCCAGAAACCTAAGTGTAGCCAACAAGGTAACCCTTAAATAGGTGCCAGAGCATAAAGGAACTGAAGGAAATGAAAAAGCAGATGCTCTGGCAAGAGAAGGATCAGCAATCAGTTACACTGGTCCTGAACCGGCAATTGGCCCCACAAAATCTTCGATAAGAACAAATTAAACCAATGAGTGTATAGACAACACCAAACTCGCTGGCAAACTCTTCCGAAGCTCAGACACAGTAAGCTAATGGTACAACAACCATCATCTAAACTTACTGAAAAGATCCTAGGCTCATAACCGGACACTGTAGCCTGAGAAAACAGAATCGGCATCCGCCAAGAAGAAACCATTTGCAGACTTTGTGATGAGGAATATGAAACCGTCATCTACATGGTCTTCGAATGTGAGGCTTTACGCTGGTGAAGATACAGACAGATTCCGAATCGGCTTAATCTTCAAAAGTTAATGAAGCTATAATAGCGCTGTGGTCTGAGAAGGTCAGTAACAGTAACAATCAAAATCGGAGTCAAGATTGGAACAAACGTAGTATATTGTAGTGGAGGTGGAGTCTGTGATCCGAGTGGGTTCCTTAACATGCATTTGATGATTGAAAGACTGAAGTAGGTTGAGCAAAAGAACAGTCGAACACTTCCGGGATCGCCAAAATCTATATTAAGTTCTTCCGCAACTATCAGTTTGGAATAAGGTGGTATATGTTTGACAGAAGAAGTATCCAAAGGGAAAAAAGTGAGTTCGCGCAATTTTAGTATTGCCTACATATTTACAGTTCAACTACCAAATACGCCGTTGAAAATATGAAAAAAACAAATTTACGACACGGTAATTAATAAAACAATGATGGGGCTTACAATGGGGGTGCGTGTTGATTGTAGTTCCAGATCCAATTTTAGATTACTACACTCCGTCGGAAAATTGATTCAACAAAAGATCAATTATGTTTTTCTCTACGGTATTTTTTTTTTAGGTCATTTTAATGAATGGAAAATATACCTATGCTTCTGAAACTGTTTTAATATAAAAAAAAACATATCCAAAACGTCATCATAGAACCGTAATTGAAAATGCCTTATCATCCACAAAACATTTCACAAAGCTTGTGGCAGAAATCGTAATAACTGAACAATTTTCGGAATTTATTAAAAGTAAGGTTTTAGAAAATTATAGAAGAATTCTTTCTTATTCCATATTTCAACTTTAAACGATCAATATAGACATAAATTACTAGAAAAGATCCCGCACTACAGTATAATAGGAGGTAAAGTTGTGAAATGGCTTATCAATTATTTAAAATGACTGATAGAATACAATATATTTTTGATATTTTATTAAAACCTAACATAAATAATATTTGTGTATTGAGAAATTAAATATCAGCAGATTTAGAAAAGACACTGCACAAAATATTTTCAAATAATATTTAGGAAACTTCTTAGTTCTTACCATGTTAAGAAATGCCACAATATGTAACCAACTAGAATAATATCTCCAATAAACTTCACTGTTGTTTTATTATTTACCAATAAAAGTGGGTTTCACCGCGGATTAGCTCATTGTTATGACTACAACGTGATCCCGGATCAATTATTATTATTATTATAATGAGAGCTTTTATACCCATCTTCACTTATTTCAAGCGAGGACGTCCTTGTTTGCTTCTTCAGCCGGTAGGGAAAGTCGATTACGGATTGCTATATTTATAGCTACGGAAAGGGGTGCTACATCGCGCCAGAGTCGGAGATAGAGCCGCGACCGCAGCGAAATAAGGGATGAAACAGACGAATATCAATAAGGGGAGTCTGCGCAAAGATCCGCCAGTTTGATAGCTGGCCAAGAGCGTTTTGGGACTTTTTACGAATTTGCAAACAGCAACAGAAAATATAATAATGGAGAAAGTTTTATCTGCACTACGCAGTAGTTTCGTTGCAGCAACTTGAAACATAATTTATAAAATATTTTGTTTGATGGCCTCGCAAAGTATGTTTTCATCAAATTGGAAAATGCATAATGAGTCAGCATCAAAAATTACTGAAATGGGCGGCAATGACAACGATATCTAATTTTTTGTTGTTTGTTGATTGGGCGAAGTGTTGCTTTTTCTAATGACTGTAAATCAAATCAAAATAAACGGCTTTATTATCATTCATAAATAGTTATTGATGTCATTATGCCAAGAAGTAGGTGTTTTTGTGCTGAGCTCAAAGTTTGAATAAAAACATAAGGTATATACACAGAATTCAATCTTGCTGACTAAGATTACAGAACACTACAGTGGTAACATCTTACTCAAAATAGTATAAATATACAAATTCTCCAAAAATCAGAAGACTGCATCATGAAGATTTTCAAGAGAGCCTATCAATTGAGTCATTCCAGATTTTTCCAAGTAGTTATTAGATAAAAGTAAAATAAAAACTTACGAATTTTAGCCACACAGACATACAAATATATTTTCGCTCTTAAGCCTAGTTCTCATGGTGCGGGATTCCGCATTGCGGGTCCGGAAATCGCAGTTTTTTGAAAATCGTAATTTTTGATGGTTCACATGAAACGGAATTCCGGATGCGGATTTATGTCAAATACATGTGATCTTAACCTAACATATTTTTTGTTTTTGTTTTCCTGTGTGCCTGGATGGATAATTATATTGCACAATTAAATTATTATCAATGGAAAAGACAGAGGGAGGTATGAAAAAAAACAGAGTGTCTGCTACTACGACAAGTAGTAGTATTAGGCAATTCAAACCACGTGACATTCAAGATGGCGTGGCGGCCACACATGGGCCAAAAAACACAAAAAAATATCTAGTTTCTGCCCGAATTAATAGTTTAGGTACCTACCTAGTCAACAAATATTTTATTAAATAATGAAAATCAAAGTTGTAAGTAAAACTGTATGCAAAATAATTTAAAATACGCATAAAAACATATTCAAAACAAACTTGCTTGGCCGCCACGCCACATTGAATTTTCCTTTTTGACAGATGGATTGAATTGCCTAATATTCTTCGTTGTGTTTACTTTAAAATGAAGTAGATACTACATTTCGAAACTACCGGAAATTAGTAAATCCTTTGTTGTGAAGTAAATACTTCGTAGAATATACTACTACCTGTAGTAGTAGCAAGTACTTCTTTTTTATTCAGACTACCACCCAATATATATGTTAGTATTGGGTTTGCTATTAATCCATAATATGCATGAAACTTCATCAAAGAAGCAGAATAGCAGAGGAATATTAAATAAAGGAAGATGTTGTTCAGAAATATTCTACTGAAAAGGCATGAACAAGGGGTTTGCCGTAATAATATGTATTTGAAAATAAAACAAGCACACATAGTCCAAAAAACGGGGATCTGAAAAGAGGGTTTACCTCAACATAATTAGAAGTTGAAATTTTTTTGGGGGGATCGGTCCATTTTAATATGCTGAACAACATATTAAGTTTGCGACCTCGTACTTCCATAGGGTTTTCAGTTAGGGGTGGTTTTTAGGGGTAATTTGCGGTTTATGGAGAACGCTGCTCAAAGGGATGGTTCAATAGCAAAAAGTTTCAAATGAATGTTGTAGCTGAAGTTTTTTGCTATAAAAAACTCAGCGACAGCACCCCTTTATCTTCTATAGTTTTTTTTCTGCAGCGACTTGAATAGTAGCATGTTTGTGTTCAAGGTTACTGAATCAACGTTTTGCCATTTTGCGCGCATTTGTTGCAGCAGCGGCCGAATGCATAATCCGCTTTCAATTTTTCAAACACCACATTATTGCTAATGAAATGCACTCTCCAATGCTTTTTTGTTCGAATTTTTTGCTTGAAGATTAAGCGAGCACGGACTTGTCCAATGTACGAGGAAGTTGTAAATTGCATCGAAAACTACCCCTTCCTTGCATTCACTGTAATTTCTAAACGGGGCCAAATATTTGGTGACAGTTTTCGACAATCGGCAGCCCATTTATTCCTCTCATAATGCCCCAGCGGATTTTTTTTTTTCGTTAATTACGTAATGACTTATTGGCCTGAAAACGTCGCGCGGGATTTTTCAAAAAGTAAAATAGTTATTTATGTATCAAGGGAATTATGCAGGTGTTAATACCCCAGGGCAACGTTTGTGTCCCGAGGGCCTCCGGCCCGAGGGACACCAATTGCCCGTGGGTATTAACTCCTGATAATTCCCGTGGTACATAGATAATTTTATATCCTACTGAATTAACTGTATTCTGTCTATTTTTATAAAGGAATAAGCCATAAATCAAAATTTCTATTTTTTGTCAAAGTGTTACCTATTCAAGGTAAAAGCGGGAGTTATGGAAATCCTTAACTCCCTTGGGAGTTATGATATCCTTAACTCCCTTCCTTAACTCCCTTGGGAGTTATGAAAATCCTTAACTCCCTTGGGAGTTAAGACCCTGTTTATGATTATCGTAACCAAGGTATTATATGGTTTTAATAGTTCAGTAGGATATAAAAAAATTAAAATTGTCGCATAGCGCTGAAATTTGGTACGATGGCCTTATTTATTGTTCTTACGAATATACTGCAATTTTAATTGCTTCACATGATATAAAATTGCAGTATATTCATGAGAACAATAAATAAAGCCATCGTACCAAATTTCAGCGCCATGCGAGAATTTTAATTTTTTTTTACTTTTTGAAAAATCCCGCGCGACGTGTTCAGGCCATTAAGTCATTAAGTAATTAACGAAAAAAAAAATCCGCTGGGGCATTATGAGAGGAATAAATGGGCTGCCGATTGTCGAAAACTGTCACCAAATATTTGGCCCCGTTTAGAAATTACAGTGAATGCAAGGAAGGGGTAGTTTTCGATGCAATTTACAACTTCCTCGTACATTGGACAAGTCCGTGCTCGCTTAATTTTCAAGCAAAAAATTCGAACAAAAAAGCATTGGAGAGTGCATTTCATTAGCAATAATGTGGTGTTGGAAAATTGAAAGCGGATTATGCATTCGGCCGCTGCTGCAACAAATGCGCGCAAAATGGCAAAACGTTGATTCAGTAACCTTGAACAAAAACATGGTACTATTCAAGACGCTGCAGAAAAAAAACTATAGAAGATAAAGGGGTGCTGTGTGTGCTACAACATTCATTTGAAACTTTTTGCTATTGGACCATCCCTTTGAGCAGCGTTCTCCATAAACCGCAAATTACCCCTAAAAACCACCCCTAACTAAAAACCCTATGGAAGTACAAGGTCGCAAACTTAATATGTTATTAAGCACATGAAAATGAACCGATCCCCCCCAAAAAATGTTAACTTCTAATTATGTTGAGGTGAACTTCCTTCATTGCTTGGCCTAACAAGCAAGCAGATCAATTTATTTTTGTTAGGTATTAATTGTTTTATTGTTTTTTGTTTGAGGTTAGTTTATTTGTTTATGTAGAAATCAAACAAAAGATGAGAAATGTTTAGACAAAGACAGAAAAAAAAATCGCAAGAAAGTTGAAAATGGTTCAACTTTATTGCGGATCCGCAAAAAAGTTGACGTTTTCCCGCCAACGGAATTATTTCAAAAATTCCGCACCCACAATCCGGAATTCCGCATCATGAGAACTAGGCTTTATCCTTCCCACATGGAAAAAGCGATGAGGTAAGATATCAGGCAGCGATCATTTTTTACCCCATTCCGCCACATAAAGTAATGTTTTATGGGATTTGAAATTATATGGTAAATGTTGGTATTAAAATAATTTATTGCCGAAATTTTAACCATACAATAAACTGAAATGATTACAAAATATTGCCTAACATTTTTGAGAATAGGTTTTTTTTTATACAGGATTGAAAAGGTGTGAGCTACTATCAAGATATGATAGTAAGTACTCAATGGAAACTGTAAAGTTGTGGTTACTAGTGACGTCAACGTAAATAACGTACCAGCGACTAAAATGGGAAACATTTTGAAGGGGCTAGTTAGGTAAAAATTACTACCCCGGAACATATAGACCGCTACGTTGTACTCACGTTCCAACTACGTGGCGACGTTATAAGATTTGTTCCCACCTACTTCACTTGGCTGTATTCGCATTTTCTTTGTCTTATATCGGGTCTTCAAAAAAAAACCAATCAAAGATTGCTATGGTTTTTTAAACGTACGTCTTAGCAATCAATATATTTTTTTTAATTTTGACAATGTCAGTCAATGAAATTTAATGTCAAAATGTCATGTCAAAAATCCTGACCAATAAACAAACAATAATGCGACGTACGTTTTCGTAACCAAAGCAATCTTTGATTGGTTTTTTTTTTTGAAGACCCGATATATTTGAGAAGCTTAATAGCATCTCCTATCATTTTTCCGCCTCCTTTCTTTACACTTTCTACTGAATCTGGTGACGTTGACGTTACTTTATCTACTTTCCTTATTATTGCAAGTATGTCAAATGTTTTACTGGTTACTGGTTTTAATACATTGACAGTCATGTCAGTATGTATGATATATGTGGCGATTACCTGCTAAGATTTTAATTAGGTAGGTAGTACCGCGGTGTATGGGCGGCGCTGTAGAGGTAGCACCTCTAAGTTTGAGATGGTCGCATCAAGAGTCGTAGACTGGAGATGGTTTCAAATCAATTGGTCCTCACAGGGCAGTCAGCTCTCACTTATAGCTCCACGAGCCACATCTTGGAAACTGCACCTACCCGCAGGCTAAACTATGTGAGGGTAGCCAGATAAGGCGAGGAAACTAGTGTTGGGCAGCTGCAACATTGAAAGTAATTGGTCGGCGTACTTCTAGATATAGAAAGAAAAACGGCACCGTATAACACAGTTAAAGGCGCGACAAAGACTGTCTCAACGGTTTTATTACTCCGATGAGAAAGGCAACAGGAAACCACCTCATTAGCCTCCCCAACCAAATCATTAGCATGACTTGAAAATCAAAAGCACATGAGGGCCTGTGCTTTTGCTCTGCAGGGCTTAAGTGATCAGAGGGTGCTAAGAATCTCCCGGCCAGTCATGAAGAAGATCGCTACCTGGAACGCACAAAGTATGTTTCAATCTGGTAAAGCCCACAACGCCATCAAAGAGATGAAAAAAATGAACATCGGAAAAGGGATTAGCGAAATGAGATGGCCTAATTCTGGAGAATGTCAAATCGACGACCATCATATCTACTATAGTGGCAATGGCGAGGTCAATCACTATAATGGCGTGGCACACATATAGTTAATACACAAGTACAAAAAACGGTAAAATCTTTTGTCCTGGTCTCTGATAGAGTAGTACTTCTGTAGCTCAATGCCAAGCAACATCATCATCATGCACAGCGAGCACTCGGGCGAAGCTGTCGAAGCCTTCTACGAACAACTCCAAGTCGCC